CCTGAGTATTTCAAAGAATACTCAGTAAGTGGCCCCACTATAGGGGGCCATGCAAATGCAAACACATGCAATCATGATTTAGGGACCTATCTCTAATCATCTTAGGGGTGGCCTCCAGTCTCGGACAAATTGGATATGTAGTACTTCCCTACACACGACTCACACGTGCGAGTGTGAATCCCCAGGGCACTTGCACACCCCCTCGACCCTCTGGTCAAGCTAATCTGTAGCGACGTCCGGAGGTCAGCGGAACCCCATAGTGTCATGCACCTCATGAACACCCTCATCTGTAACGACCCGGGAAAGAAAAAAAAAAAAAAAAAAAATATATATATATATATATATATATATATATATATATATATATATATATATATATATATAGAGGACACGTGATGAATAAATGAAAAGGTACATGAATGAATTGACAACACATTTAAATAAGAATGATCTTGGAGATAAAAAGTGTGATATCCCACATTAGTTAAGGAGAAGAACAAACCTTATAAGGGTGTGGAAACCTTCCCAAAATTACTACTAATACCTGTATCACGACAATAACTAATTATAAAAAAAAAATTGTAGATATTATTTATTAATCTATAAAGTTTATTTTTAATAGATTATTTAGGATGAGTTAATATAGATGACTTTTGCAATGGATAAGTGTTTGAAGCCATAGATATGTAGTGTGTGAAGTTGTAAAATAAAATTGAGTTTTTTTTTAGAGTGTAAGTTATTTCTTAGTTAAAATAATTTTAAATTGACTTTTCGCGTTTTATATCAATTAAATAAATTAAAAATAACAATGTGATTGATTTAACTAAAATCAACTCATTGAAAAATGAAATAAATAGAGTTTAGAGAGGGGAAGAATTTTTTTGTAAGAAGTTTGATGCCGGAAGAACAGGTCTGAACAGAATCACCGTTGGTCTTGTAACAGCCCAAGTCCAAGTCCGTCTCTTCAAGGGTAAGTCTGTTTCTTTAGGCTGATAATCCGTCTGTTTGGGCTTTCTATTCTGAACTTCCCCTCCACTGATAGACATTGTTCTCTTTGACCAAAAGTTGTTTTCGTACTCTTATAAGGAATGTTTCGTTTCCCGTTTCCCTCTCATTTCTAGGCTTCTGCTCAAGGTTCTAAAACGCATCTATTAGGAAGAGGTTTTCATACGTTTATAAGGAATGCTTCATTTCTCTCTCCCTTCTAGGTCAAGTTTTTAAAACGCCTTAGGGAGAGGTTTCGTTTATACCTTTATAAGGAATGTTTCGTTCTCTTCTCCAACTGATGAGTGAACTCACACTTCTCATTGAATAACTCGTCCTAAACCGGTTGTACTCTCTCTACTGCTGCTAGTATTTGCTTCTTCTTTGCCTCAACTGTGAACCCACCATAACTGGTTTGATCAGTGAGTTTCCAACATCAAAATCTTTCTTTCAAGTTCTGGATGTTCTCCAAAGCACCAGAACCCATTTCTTCCTTCCCCAACTCCTCCTCTTCCTCAAGAAGGCTATGTCCAGTTCACAAGCTCCCTCACAAACCCTACATCTGAGAACAGAACACCCCACTCATGCTCTCTTGACTCCTCAAGAATGCAGTTTATACAGATCAAAACATCTCTCTCAACCTTGGAAGCTTTCAATTAGATCGCTCGCTCAGTTCATAATGTCTCTGCCATAAGAGATGAACTACTCCTCTCATCCCCAAGTGGGCTAAGTTTTATTAGAAGGAGATAACTTCAGGAGTCAATGGCCACCCATTAAACAATCTGAACTAATTCATAGACACAAATGCACTGATATTACGGTATTCCTTACAGAAGAAACAAAAAAACAGTATAATTCTTGACAAAGCTCGTCTATCCATTTCCCTATACAATCTTAATGTGTATCTTTCCTGCCAGTTTTCAGTATATAGAATAAGAACTCATTCCATGTGTCAATGGGGCCTGGCAAACACCAGTGCACACAGTCAGCCACACTCACATTCATACGAGGAGAATAATGGTTCGGATGCCCATCTGGTCTCATCAGCATGGCTTCCGTTGTGTCCAACAGCTTGAATTCCAGGCCTTTCTTCGTCCCTTCCTTCTCTGCTTCTTTGAATGCTTCCACCTGAGCCTTGTGTAACTCAACCACAAAACTTTTCCACTTCATCTCCTCCTTTGTAAATGGAACTGTCCTTGCACAATTCCCTCCTTTGTCCCAATCGCCATTCTCGAAGTGTGATGGAGAAAATGTCCTCAGAAATGTCACCCCTTTGTAGCCTTTGAGACCCATAATTGTTCTAAACACAGTTTGGAAGACTTTCCCATAGCCATAGGAGTTCAAAACCTGCGTGACGTTACTTTGCTGGCAATAGAAACATCCTGTTATTTGACCATTTTCGTAGTATACTTGTGGGCGAAAGAACCACTGTCCTGCTGAGAAGACGACGTAGTCGAAAGATTTGACGGCGGAATTCCAGGAGGGGTCTGCTTCATCCAAGTATAGATTCATGAGGCTGTTGGCGGAGAAACCATTCAGGTCTGCATCCTTGCTTTTAACCAAATACGGTGACCAGAATCTTGCCACTGTGAAATTGTAATCAGCAAAGAACCATCTCTTGAAATCATAGCTTAGATTGTATTTTGGAGAAACATCTACCGGATGAGATACCTGCAACATATGCAAAAGAAGATTTAAAAAAGGGGAAAGTTTATACAGATGATGGATTGTTGAGCTTGACATATAACTTACATTGGAGAGAAGACACAAGAGCGACTGCATATGATTTCTAGCGACAGAGTCACCAACAAAAGCAAGAGATTTCCCTTTAACAATTTCCAAGAACTGTGCAGGATCAAAGAGAGGAAGCTCACAATCATCTGGCTTCCACCTCCATTTCAAAAACTCTCTGTCAGGTCTTCCATACTTCAAACAGTTTTGATACTCAAACATCATGTCACAAGTGTCATTCGTGTAGTATGGCCTCTCAGATTTGGGCACCCAATTTCCACGAAACAAATCACACTTCTTCTCTGATTCCACTGTATTCAAGTTGGTTGTGTTCTTCCAGAGATTCGGCAGAGATGAAGGCAAGTTTTTGTTTGTAGACAGAGGAATGATGGTAACAAGAAGCAGTGTCAGAGCCAGCAGAATCCCTTTGTGGGAATTCCACAACACAGATTTGTTTACAATTGGAGCTTCAAAAACATGAAGCTTCATGTTGAGAACAGCTCTGAAATTTAGATTCCAAGTGTTTTCATTCATATAACTCCCTCCCTCTCTCTCTTTCTCTTTGTGGTGGGTGTAGGTCCATGTAAAAAGCAAACTTTGGGTAATTATTGGAAAGCATTCATTCATATAATAGTATGCCTCTATTTTGGCTTCGACTACCTACCAAACCACCATCAATAAACAAGTGTGGTTTTATTGGTTAATGCATAATATTTCATTATTAAAAACTAAGTTGGACAGGTGGAAAGTCGCAATTTATTTGGGCCACCGACATCGTACAACACTCATACAGATTACAGTCATATATCCTCAAAAAATTCTTGTAAGAAACATGCTTTACAGATAACAGAGCACCTACCACATGGAGCTGGTAAAAAAATTGTTTTCAAGTTTAACTTACAGCTTTATTCCTCTGCTACTTTCAGGGAAACACAGAAAAAACTATCCATTCAAAATCAGTAATCTTAATATAAAAATGTATAAAACCAGTCTTAAAACCCCGATGCAAAGGCATGTCCTTGACCTTGTCCTATCCGAATATTACATCCACCTCATAGCATATTCAGTATCATCGGTTTTTGTGTGGTCTACAAGTGGTAGAGGCTGTTGATGATTATGTTGGGAGAAGAGTGATAAAAACTTAGCTTAGAACTGTAGATTTTTCTGTGGGATTTACTGGAAACTTCTTCCTTTAAATAATGAACCTACTAACGTGTGAGATCCCACGTCCGTTGGAGAGGGGAACAAAGCCAGTGAAGACGTTGGACCCTGAAGGGGGTGGATTGTGAGATCTCACATCGGTTGGAAAGGAGAATAAAACATTATTTATAAGGATGTCGAAACCTCTCTCTAGTAAACGTGTTGTAAAAACCTTGAGGGAAAATTCGAAAGAGAAAGTCCAAAGAGGACAATATCTGCAAGAGATAGGCTTGGCGGTAACAAATGGCGGATGGAATGGAGGTCAATGAAGTCTGAATTAACAAAACTTGTGAAAGAATAGAATCTTCTTGGACAAAACAAACAAGCATTTGGGTTTAGATTATTATATGCTAGGGGTTGTCATCTTTCTCATGTTCTTGGCAACAAGGTCTAGAAGTAGGGTCTATATCAGTACAGTTGGATTTTCCTTTCACCTTTGACAGTAATCCCACCTTTTATAAATGAGAAAAATAATTCAAAATGGTTGTTCTCAAGTGATCTAGACTGGATAGAGATAGAGATAGAGATAGGATTATGAAAGACTAGTTGATGGCCATCCACACATTCATTTCCCATCTATAGAATTGACGGCTTGATAAGATTACAATACTTTTCACTTTCCCCGACATATTAACAAACACAATATTTCGGATCAAAGTATGTGAGAACGAAGATTCGAATCTTAATTGTAGATATCTATCTTAACTAATAGAGATATGTTCTACTAATAATCACAAATGATAGCACTGAACGAAGCAAACAAACAAAAAAGTACTTAACTTGCTTAAATTGTGCTCTTTATGACTTCTTTCACCATGTCTAATTCAACTTTAGACACAAATTATAAATGCATAAAGCTCAATAATCAACAATGATACAAATATACAAATCACAAAACAACAAGAACAGCAAGAACATGAATTTAAGAAGAGAGAAAATGATCATAAAGAAAAAACTCCTTTCTCCTTCTAACCAAACTGTAGCCCATCCCTGGCTGATCTAATCCCTTCCATCTTCAACATCTCAAGCAAGAAATCACTCCAAGCATCAATGGGGCCAGGCAAACACCAATGCACACAATCATTATACAATGTCACATTTTCACTCGCCAAATGCCCATACCTGCTAGGATGTCCGTCCGGCCTCAGCAGCATAGCCTGCGTCGTATCAAGAACCCTAAATTTCCGCCCTCGTTTTCTCCCTTCCCTTTCCGCGATCTTGAATTCCTCCATCTGAATCATGTAGAGCTCCAGATTATGACCTTCCAATTGCGTCTCGTTGCTTCGGAAAGGTCTCGTCCTCAAGCAATTTCCGCCTTGATTCCAAAGCCCATTCTCGAAATGCGAGGGCGCAAAGGTTCTCAAAATCGTCGTTCCTTTAAAATTCTCCAGGCTGTTTATGGCCTTGAAAGCCGTTCGGAAGGCCTTTCGGTAGCCGTAGTACATCCCGAGATCGGTGACATTTTCAAGGAGGCAGTAATGGCAGCCGACGATACGGTGGCGCTCGTAGAAAACCATAGGGCGGAAGAACCAGTGGCCGCCGGAGATGATGATGTAGTCAAACTCATCAATCTGAGTGGTCCACTCCTGGTCGTACTCGTCCAAGTAGAGATTGAAGAGGCCAGTTTTGGTGGGGCCGTTAGAGTCTCCCATGGCGGCTTTGATGAGATGAGGCGTCCAGAAACTGGCCATGGTGAAATTATAGGTGGTGTATTTCCACCTCTTGAAATTCTCATCCGACGTGTACGACACGTCCTTCGGATATTCCACCTGTAATCCCATTTTTCTTTTTTTAATATTTTAAACAAATTAAAACTATACTATATAACTTATTTTTTAACTTATTGGATCCAAATCATGTAACACTAAGGTAAAAGTAATTTTTTAATTAAACAGAATAACATATAGTTTTAAAGGTATCATATCATATACTTTTTCATTAAAAATATTAGAAAATAGAATGAAAACAATGTATGAACAAATGAGATGTACTTTATTATAAAATTTTGTTGGTCAAATGTTTACTATATTCTACATCTCGTCTGACACATTAAACCATTGTCGGCAAACATGTTATAGAGAGAGAAAGAAATATATACATACATATATATATATATATATTTGCATCGAAAAAATGTTTTTTTTTTCTTCTAATATTAATTTTGTTAATTGATTTTAATAGAGATTAGAATTTAATTTAAATGGAATTTAAGAGGTAAGATAGAATATTTTAAAATAAAATAAGATTTAAAGGTAAATAAAATGGGAAAGAAATAAATAATAATTTGAAAAAGTATTTTATTAGTTAAAATGTCACAGCTGGCAAATGCTCTTATTCCTTGTTTTTTTCCTTCTTTTTTCTGTTTAATAATTCAATAATTTGTTCACAAATAGTTCTTTTAATTATTTTTTATTTTTAATAAAAAATAAATAAATAAAACATATAAAAATTTCTATTAATTATCTTAAAAAATATTCGGCAATATTCTTCGCTAATTTTAGACCTTAATGTTTCATATATTTCTAATTTTAAATGATGGGTAATTTTAATCATACCTTAAAAATATATACGAAAATAATTCAACAAATTAAGTAAGTCTAGGGAATCGAATCTCGTAACCTAATAAAATTAACCACAAAAATAATTGAAAATGAAAGAGAGAAGAAATGGGTATGGAAAGCATCATGAACATCAATCAAAATTTTAAAAAAATGACATAAAACAACACAAACTTGTTGGCTTCTTCGAAGAGCTAAAGATTCCCATGGCCCATAATTTTATTTTATTTTTAAAATTTTAAATGTAAAATAAATAAATAAATAAAATAATACCAAAATTATGAAAGTAAGGGAAAGATGAGGCATTGGGAATGGAATTAGATTCCAAAACCCAATAATTAACTTTTAAATGTTATAATTTTTTTTTAATCTTAACCCAAAAGGTGAATTTTTCAATTCTTTTTGGCCAAAAGATGCTTTCCCAAAGCAGGATTAGATCACTCCAATTAATCCATTAAGAGTAATTTAATTTTTTTTTTGTAAATAAATATTCATAATTTTTTAATTTAATATAGTGATTTTATTTTTTTCAACTATATTATTTATGGCCTTTAATCATTGACCTTTGGGGACAAGAACTCATATTATTAAAGATTTTTCAGAAAATGGAATATATTCCAAAAACCCATCTCAAGAAAGGAAAAATCAGACTCAAACAATCATAAAAAAACAATCTTTCAATAAAAAAAAAGTAAAAAACATTGGTAATTCAATTGGTTAAAACATTATAACGTTAGACGATGGATGAGAACTTACGGGTGAAAGGAGGCAAATCAAGGATTGCATTTGGTTTCTTCCAACGGAGTCACCAACAAAAGCCAAGGACTTGTCTCTCATGAGGTCAAGAAACTGGGAAGGGTTGAAAATGGGGAGGTCGCAGGCGTCGGGCTTCCATCTCCATTGCATGAAGCCGCCGTCGGGCCTTCCATATTTCATGCAGTTTTGGTGCTCGTGAATGGCCCAACAAGAGGAGCTTGTGTAGTAAGGGGCGTTGGGGTTTGGGACCCATTCGCCGGTGAAAATGTCGCACTCGTCTTGTTGTTGAATGGCATTGGAGTATGGAGAAGAAGGGGAGGTGGGGGAGGTGGTGTTGTGGAGAAATAGAGAGTAGTTGATGAGATTGTATATGAGGGGAATGACTGTGAGAAGGACGAGAGTGATGACTATGGCTAGGATTTTGTGGAGGGTGTAGGATTTCCCTGAGGGAAGCACCTCGTTGCCATGGAGTTTCATGGGGAGAGATGGAGAGAGATTGGGAGAGAGATTGGGAGAGAGATGGGAAGAAGTTGAATTAAAGAGTTTGTAAAAGAGATGTAAATGATGAGTGGGTTGAAAGTCTTGTTCTTTTGGGTTTTGTTTTTTGGCTATCATTCTTAACTTGATTACATGTGGAGAGAAAGAGAGAGAGATATGTACGGCCTCGAAGCTTTTCCCTAATAAACATGTTTAGACTGACGGGGATGTGTAACGGGTCAAAAAGAACAATATTTGATAGCGGTGAGCTTGAGTTATTATAGCGCAAAATAGTGATAGAAACCTTGTGATGTGAAGTGGTGTATCGATGAATTTGCAAGGTTTTTTTTTTTTTTTTTTTTTTTTTTTTTTTTTTTTTTTTT